ATTCATCATCATCACCATTGTGATTATCATCATCACCATTGTGATCATCATCATCACCATTGTGACCATCATCATCACCATTGTGATCATCATCATCACCATTTTGATCATCATCATCACCATTGTGACCATCATCATCACCATTGTGACCATCATGACCACCATTTTCACCCCCCACTAGCACCATCATACACTACCACCATCATCATCATGACCATCATCATCATGACCATCACCACTACCATCACCAATAGCACCACCATCATCACCACCATCATTCATGACCATCACCACTAGCACCATCATCATGACCACCATTATCGCCATCATCATCATCATCATCATCACCATTACCATTACCATCACCATTACCACCACCACCATCATCACCACCATCATCACCACCATCATTATCATCACCATTATCATCATCATCATCGCCATCACCATCATCACCATCATCGCCATTATCATCATCATTATCATCATCACCATCATCATCATCATCATCATCATCACCATCATCATCACCATCATCATCACCACCATCATCATCATCATGGCCATCATCACCACCATCATCATCACCATCATCACCATCATCATCATCATCATCATCATCACCATCATCATCATCATGACCATGGTTATAATGTTGTTCACTTTCATCTTCATTTTAGATTGACGAAGGATCAAGATCACCCGCTGTTAGACCTGTGTCAACACCTCATCTAACCACTGCTGGATCAACCATCAGTACATACCTCGACCCTTATAGCACAAGAGACAATAACAGACATTCGAACCCAGAACCTCCACCAGTTAGTGTCAGTATATTTTTTTAACAAAGTTACTTGTGGGGGCAGTTCTAGCCTCATCTGCAAGAAGGGGTGGCGCATGGGGGAGCCTTACTGCCCACTCTCTTCTGCAGTCTGCAATGCTACTATCCCAACATTACCATTATTTGAGATGACCAATCTGCATGTTTGCCTTTCTGTTACGTTTTACCTTATATTTTTTTTGTAAAGTTTATATCGGCTTTTTATCACTTATGCGTGGTTGGATAGTTGTTGTAGCACAGTACAGTAAATTCGCTTGTTAAACTACAGTATATTTGAAAATATGGCTGTATAACAACCTCAACATGATTTTGTCTGTGTTGGTGTAATGTACTCAGGTGAATATGATGTTTGTGGTGTTACTCTGAGTGTATATCCACGCCGGGCAAGCTTGAAAAATATGCCTGGCCACGGTGGGAATCGAACGTACGACCTTTGGAATACTAGCCCAATGCTATATTATTTACATATTTAACCATGATTTTAATAAAAAATTTACTTCTTTGCAGAGACATGTTGTGCCCCCGCGACCCCCTATACCAATGGTAAGATTGAAGATTCAACAGTTCAAAAAACTTTCCCAAAAATATTGAAAATGTCATGAAAGACTTAATAGAATATCTTTATTTATTTTCAGCCTAGTGGACCATTACTTGCCAGAGCTGTGATAGATCGAGTGTGCACCCCTTACGATAACAATCAAATTGCCTTCAAGGTATGTTGTTCATTGTGGATTTGTGGGCCACCCTGGTATGACCTGATGTTGTACAGACTACAGAACTCACTGCTGAGTTAAGCATGGTTAGATGATACAGAGGTAGTACATGTTCTTGAATGTGAGCTACCTTAAAGTGATCTGATGTTGTACAGAACTCACTGCTGAGTTAAGCATGGTTAGATCATACAGAGGTAGTACATGTTCTTGAATGTGGGCTATCTTAAGGTGATCTGATGTTGTACAGAACTCACTGCTGAGTTAAGCATGGTTAGATCATACACAGGTAGTACATGTTCTTGAATGTGGGCTACCCTAAAGTGATCTGATGTTGTACAGAACTCACTGCTGAGTTAAGCATGGTTAGATCATATAGAGATAGTACATGTTCTTGAATGTGAGCTACCTTAAAGTGATCTGATGTTGTACAGAACTCACTGCTGAGTTAAGCATGGTTAGATCATACAGAGGTAGTACATGTTCTTGAATGTGAGCTACCTTAAAGTGATCTGATGTTGTACAGAACTCACTGCTGAGTTAAGCATGGTTAGATCATACAGAGGTAGTACATGTTCTTGAATGTTGAGATTAACTTTCCGTGAAAAGGTGACTTGGTTAGCGCTTACTTAGTGATATAGTTTTTGCATGTATTATGTTTTTATTTGTCTATAATGTCCTGCCATGAAGGCACAATAAACATAAAAACCTAATGTTTTTATTTCTTTTATAGAAAGGTGATTTGCTAAAAGTAACCAAGCAAAACGATAACGGAATCTGGGAAGGCGAATTACACGGAAAAACGGGCGAGTTTCCAATGTCTCATGTAAGCCTAATCGACCCAAATACGATGGAACCATATTCGAATGGTTATTGACATAATCGTACCATATGTACTCCACACAAAATGACGAGAAACTAATAATAATGATAATGGCCAGCAAGTATGCGGAGTGGAATGGTACTGTTGGTTATACGAAGACGCTGTAGTCTCCGTAAAAGTGGACACGAAAAGGAAAAAAGCTAGTCACTAGCATTAATTTTAACTTAATTTTCTATGCGACGTATGATTATATGACTGTAAATAAAAAAATAGCTGATGGTTTTTGAACAAAATTTTTGCAGGACTGCTAACGAAGAAAATATATAATACTGTGTATAAGTGAGTTTCCGTTTCTTGTGATCATCTCAAAGTTGTTGATGTAATAGGCATTTGTATTCTCCATGCCGATTCAGTCATGATCCAGTGATCAGAATGTTCCATTGTCTTTTCATTGTTTTGAAAATCTCACTGTTCTCCATGCCATCCAGTCACGATCCAGTGATCAGAATGTTCCATTGTCTTTTCATTGTTTTGAAAATTTCACTGTTCTCCATGCCATCCAGTCATGATCCGGTGATCAGAATGTTCCATTGTCTTTTCATTGTTTTGAAAATCTCACTGTTCTCCATGCCATCCAGTCACGATCCAGTGATCAGAATGTTCCATTGTCTTTTCATTGTTTTGAAAATTCCACTGTTCTCCATGCCATCCAGTCATGATCCGGTGATCAGAATGTTCCATTGTCTTTTCATTGTTTTGAAAATCTCACTGTTCTCCATGTCATCCAGTCATGATCCAGTGATCAGAATGTTCCATTGTCTTTTCATTGTTTTGAAAATCTCACTGTTCTCCATGTCATCCAGTCATGATCCAGTGATCAGAATGTTCCATTGTCTTTCAATTGTTTTGAAAATCTTACTGTTCTTCATGCCATCCAGTCACGATCCAGTGATCAGAATGTTCCATTGTCTTTTCATTGTTTTGAAAATCTCGCTGTTCATGTCATCCAGTCATGATCCAGTGATCAGAATGTTCCATTCTCTTTTCATTGTTTTGAAAATCTCACTGTTCTCCATGTCATCCAGTCATGATCCAGTGATCAGAATGTTCCATTGTCTTTTCATTGTTTCGAAAATCACACTGTTCTTCATGCCATCTAGTCACGATCACAGATATCTTGTATAAGATATCTATGGTCACGATGTAGTGATCAGATTGTTCCAATGTCTTTTCATGTTTTGAAAATCTCACTGTTGTCCATGCCATCCAGTCATGATCCAGTGATCAGAATGTTCCATTGTCTTTTCATTGTTTTGAAAATCCCACTGTTCTCCATGCCATCCAGTCATGATCCAGTGATCAGAATGTTCCATTGTCTTTCAATTGTTTTGAAAATCTCACTGTTCTTCATGTCATCCAGTCATGATCCAGTGATCAGAATGTTCCATTGTCTTTCAATTGTTTTGAAAATCCCACTGTTCTCCATGTCATCCAGTCACGATCCAGTGATCAGAATGTTCCATTGTCTTTTCATTGTTTTGAAAATCCCACTGTTCTCCATGTCATCCAGTCACGATCCAGTGATCAGAATGTTCCATTGTCTTTTCATTGTTTTGGAAATCAGTCGCGATGTAGAGATCAGAATTCATTGTTTTGAAAATGTCGGTGAGAAAATGTTACTATTCTTTGGAGGTCTGGTAATAACTGTAAAACGTCACCGAGTCACTTTAAACAAGATGGCGGACGAAGGACAGCAACAAGATTTGGTATCTGAGTTTATTTCTGTGACTGGCGCTGACGCTGAAACAACTAAATTTTACCTTGAAACTGCGGAATGGGACTTGCAGGTAGTTGAATTTATATTTTAGCCTGTTATTTGTTGTTTTTTAAATATACTTTTTCCAAAAAGTGGTTCTAAAATTGCTGTATCAGTGAGACAATGATACTTGTCAATATCATTTTCGCTTTTATATTATTGTATTCATATTTGTATTGTACAATTAATGTGAAATAAAGTAACGGTTTGTTAATTCTACAAATGATATTTTATCTATAAGTAAGTTGTATGCTTATTGCTTTTTAATAAATTTCAAAAATTAATAAAGTTAATGAAATGATGGCAGATGTTATTATTTTTAGAACTGAAAACGTTGTTTTATCTCTTTATTATATTTTGGTGCAGGCTGGGAGATTTCCTCTTGTTTTCTCATGTAGGTCATAGCCTACATTTGTCACAAGTTTGACTTTAGGCCTAAAAAAATACCTGTGGTTCTTGTTTTCCCAAATGACCCTATTTTTTTCTGCTGACCCTATTATTTTTGCAACACGATCGACTGTGTGACCCTATTTTCTTTGCGTGATTGCGGACTGCTCATACAGCGTGCCAAAATGGCGTCTGTTGTCACACTAATTATTGAACCAAATTGCCTAAATTCGCCCATAGGAAATACGCATCTCTAGTTAATATTGATGGTGGGCTCTTTATTCCCGACCTACCTAGACTCTAATTTTTTCACAATATGAAACTGGAACCACAGGTATTTTTTTAGGCCTTAGGCCTTGGGAATTAAAGTTTCTTTATATTTGTGTCCACTGCCCACATACTCCGTAAAAAATTATTTACATTTAAAACAAAATTCAGAATTTACACCAAAAAGCTCTCCATAATTAACAGTATTTTGGCTTTTCAATTTACCAAACAGACACGCAACAGGCATATTGACCCATTGAATGCCAGGACTCTCCCCTTCACGAGTAATTTATCGTCTGGCATTAGACAGAGTAAAATATAATAAAGTAGGGCACATCACGGTGGAATGCGACTCAATGGGTTAAATACAAACCTGTCCTGAATTTATTGGTATGTACTTTTGACATTATATTCAATTTGTTCCTGGTTGTGTATGGTTTTACATTTACAAACCTAAACAAACCTGAAAAAATCACATAGCTTGCAAACAGCTGTAATGACATTTTTCTACTTTATTTAATAGTTTGCCCTGAGTAATTTTTTCGATGCCGCTGCTGGTGAAGAGATGCAGGATGCTGATGAACAACCTTTCGTTCCCCCACAACCCTCCCAGCCCCTCACTGCTGAAACTGCGACCAACACAGCACCCAGTGACAAAAGTAACAAAAAGTAGGTAAACTTTAATCAGTTTCAAATGAGAGTATCATGCATTCTGGTAGTACAATCCTTATTGATCCAGTGTTACTACAGGAGGAAACCTAAACTAAACTAACTTCATAATATACAGTTCTAAACTCTTAATTTTAGCACAGGCAAAAGATACATGCACTGACTAAGTTGTGTTTCTACTAGGAATCCAAGATTTGGTACGATAGCAAGTTTTAGTACGGACGCTGGTCAGGAGAATGAAGATAGCGACGAGGAAGGACAAGCTTTTTATGCTGGAGGTTCTGAGACTAGGTGAGCCATCACTAGGATCATCACTACCATCTCATTGCCATCATCATGACCATCATCACCACCATCATAATCACCATCATCATCATCACCACCATCATCACCATCATCATCACCACCATCATCACCATCACCACCATCATCACCATCATCACCACCATCATCACCATCATCATCATCATCATGATCATCATCATCATCATCATTATGATCATCATCATCATCATCATCATGATCATGATCATCACCATCATCATCATCATTATCATCATGATCATGATCATCACCATCAACATCATGATCATGATCATCACCATCAACATCACCATCAACATCATCAATCAACATCATCAATCAACATCATCACCATCATCACCATCATCATCACCATCATCACCATCATCACCATCATCATCACCATCATCACCATCATCATCACCATCATCATCACCATCATCATCATCATCACCATCATCATCATCATCACCCATCATCATTACCACCACCACCATGACTATACAATTACAGACTGACCACTCAAATATTTATTGTATCTGCTCCAATAGTGGTCAACAGATCGTTGGTCCGCCACGAAAAAAGAAAGAAAAGTCTGATGAAATGACACAGAATATTTTTGACGCTGCCAAAAGGTAATTTGTGAGGTTATTGTTCGATTGTTGTGGAATAATAATTGAAGACAAAGTTATTTAGTTTAGTTTAAATTTCCTCCTGTAGTAACACTGAATAGCTATCCACTTACAAATGCAGTTCATTTAGTTTCGTTGTTTTCATTTTAGACACGGGGCAGAGGTTGTTGATAGATCTCAAGAAGCTGGTGATAAAAAGAAAAAGACCTCCGCATTTCGTGGCTCAGGTACAGATAGAACTAGGAATTTTCTGGAAACTGTTTCATCTGAAACAGAGTAATTAGTGCGTATGTCTGTCTTCTGATGATAAAATCACCAAGCAAACACCGCAAGCTTTCTCACTACGCTACAATTTTGTCTAGCAGTGGAGCGATAAGAGATGACCTTTACTAGATTTATTGTCGATTTCAGGTAACTTTTCAACACGCTGTTCCCAAGTTCGTTGGCAAGTTCACAAGTTCATTTCAAAGTTCGAACTTTGATTGTAAACAAATGTTCATAGTTGGAGTTGAAATTACTGTATAAGGCCCTATGCACATATTACTGCAGTAAAATATTGGTCCAGTGGTCTCCCAAGATAAAAATGCCTTTTTAAATAAATTTATAAAATAATGAAATTTTTACATTTGTTTACAATCGAAGTTCGAACTTTGAAATGAACTTGCGAAATTCGTTGCGAAGTTCCCGCCCAACTTCCGAATTTGGAAACGTAATTGGCAAGTTGACAACAAACTTGGGAACCGCGCTTTGAAAAGTAATCTGAAATCGACAATAATGTTGTAAATAGTTTTTTATAAATGAGTATTAAATATGTTCTCCTATACATCTATTTCAGGATTTCGTCTTGGCGATACAGAAGGCGTTTCAGATGCAGTTCAGACACCCTCATCTGGCAGCCAGGGTCCACCAGAGCCGGTAAAACTGTTTTTAAATTATTTCCGAATCTACCCTCACGAGTACAACTTTGCAAATAAATGAAAATCGTTTTGTTGTAGGTTGTAGTCAACTTAAATTTTTGGTCCAATGGTTTCTCTGTGGATGATGGTCCTCTAAGAGATATGAATGACCCTGAAAACGCTGAATTTCTTGACGCTGTTAAACGGGGGTTGGTAGTAAATATGCGCTTATTACTGGAGCAGTAGAGAGAACAGTGTAGAGCTGATAGAGCTATCCAGTACAAATAAAGTTAGTTTAGTTTAGGTTTCCTCCTGTAGTAACACTGGAATGGATCAATAAGAGATGATCATTACTGGACCTCTAGGAAGAACAGTTTATTGTTATTATTATTATTATTATAAGCTTTATTTCGCATGACCTATTTACAGGTATTGCAGCGTTTATCTAAAATCTATAACACTAGAAAATATAAAGTTATTTTAGTTTAGGGTTCCTCCTGTAGTAACACTCGATCAATAAGAGACGATCCTTACTGGACCTCTAGGAAGAACAGTTTGGAACTGATAGAGCTATCCAGTATAAATAAAGTTAGTTTAGTTTAGGTTTCCTCCTGTAGTAACACTGGATCAATAAGAGATGACTCTTACTGAACCTCTAGGAAGAACAGTTTAGAACTGATAGAGCTATCCAGTATAAATAAAGTTAGTTTAGTTTAGATTTCCTCCTGTAGTAACAGTAACACTGGATCAATAAGAGATGATCCTTACTGCACCTCTGGGGAGGACAGTTTAGAACTGATAGAGCTATCCAGTATAAATAAAGTTAGTTTAGTTTAGGTTTTCTCCTGTAGTAACACTGGATCAATAAGAGATGATCCTTACTGGACCTCTAGGAAGAACAGTTTAGAACTGATAGAGCTATCCAGTATAAATAAAGTTAGTTTTATAGTTTAGGTTTCCTCCTGTAGTAATAGCTGGATCAATAAGTGAAGACTCTTACTAGACCTCTAGGAAGAACAGTTTATAACAGATAGAACTATCCAGTATAAATAAAGTTAGTTTCCAATCATTCATCTTTATTCTTCTCAGAGAGATACCACGAGAATTACATCGTCTGAATCGTGGAGGCGAGGTTCATGTAAACATGACGGACAAAAGAGATGAAGAGTACATTAAACCAAAAGAGATTGTCAAGGCTTTCACTGGAGAGGGACACAAACTTGGCAGGTAGGAGAATGGCTTGACCAGTATCACTCAGTAATTATTTTATGACTTTGAGTGGAAGTCTGACCAGGTCAGGAAAAAAGAATTTTTTTCCTGGGAGCACAACCTGGAGACAAAAATTTCCTGCAGACCAACGGAGTATTTTTGTGCTAAATCTGCATATGTATAAACATATATTGTTCTAGCTGACCATGGTTTTAAATTCAAGGAATAATGTCTGTCAACCGTATGTTGTTGCGCCCATAGTGGGACATGGGTGTTAAGGTTTCCTTCAAATTTTCAATAGCAAATCTTCATTCAAAGGAATTTCCTGCAGCTGTTTAACATTTCCTGCGGGCACTGCTCGCCTATTTTTCCACCGCTGGTAACCAGGACACCAGATGTGGTGGTCATAATAGAATAACTAACATTTTAAATCATCTTTTAGTCCTACGCCAAAAGTTGTGAGTTCTCGTACGCCATCATCAAATACAAGCTCGACTCAAGCGCCCAAAGTTGATGACTCTCAACCTGTCACGAACTTACAGATACGACTGGCTGACGGCACGAGGTAACTCGCAAATATTCTTGTTGCTTTCTGGGAGGTTTGGACCTTATTGTGGCGTAGCCAGCTCGATAATTGGGGGGGGGGGCATATTCATATATTCGTGTTCTGCATTATTAATTTCTTTTGAAATTGATTGTTTTGAAGGTCTGTGAATACGAATATATGAATATGCCCCCCCCCCCCCACACTTATCGAGCTGGCTACGCCACTGGTCTAAAGCCTGGTTGATATTATCAAAGTTTCTGTGATCACAGTAGGAATTTTGCATAGGTAAATTTTAAGTTTTGAAGGATTTGTGAGGAATGTTTGAGGAAACTGACTTAATGTTAAACACTGAATCAGTTGCTCAAACATTTCTTACAAATCCTTTAAAACTTAGAATTTACCTATGCAAAATTCCTACTGTGATCACAGAAACGTTTATAGTGTAAACCCGGCAAGCTTATTGCATGTTTATTCCATTTGCGTCTAGTTCATTATCAAAGAATGAAGCCGATGTCATGCGTGTATAATACTATGTATAATACAGAAATGGGTAAATTTTGATCAAGGCAAGAATAATGAAATCCAACACCACAGCTAGAAAGAGCGTCTTAGAATGAGTAAAACTGCAAAGATTGGGTGCTAAATGTTGTAAAATGAAGAAAATATAGCCCTGTTAAGTTCGCAAATTTTGTATATATTTGTATTACGCGCGGGAAAAATAACCACTTTCGGTTCAAAAATGGTTATTTTTCCCGCGCGTAATGCAAATCTATACAAAATTTGCGAACTTCGCAGCGCTATAATTTCTTCATTTTACAACAATTCGCAACCAAACTTTGCAATTTTACTCATTCTAAGATGCTCTTTCCAGCTATGGTAATGGTTTCGTTCTTCTTGCCTAGATTAAAATATCGTCCATAGCTGGAAACTGATCTATTCTTCAAATGATCCATGGTATCTGTACTTTATTTAGGTTGGTAGCAAAATTTAATCATACAAACACGATTGGTGATGTCAGAAATTTCGTAAACGCGTATCCTTTTAAACACTGCATTGTGTTTTGTTTAACATTTTGTATATTTTGTTGGTAACCCGCCTGCATATGACGTAATTATATTCCTCCTACAATGACGTCATCTCCTTAACGTGTCACTCAGCTCCAGGCCGCAAATGGCCGGCCGTGTTTACGTCCTAATGACAACGTTTCCCAACAAGGAATTAACGGACGAAACATTAACGTTGACCGATGCGAACTTATTAAATGCAGTGGTTGTCCAAAGATATAAATAAGGATCATCTGTTGATAATTGGTGAGTTTTTAATGTTTATATAATCTTAAACCTGGTTTACACTATAAAAGTTTCTGTGATCACAGTAGGAATTTTGCGTGGGTAAATTCTAAGTTTTGTAAGGATGTGTAAGAAATGTTTGAAGGGACTGAGGCCCGTTTCAGACGGCGTACTCTTCATGTGCCGAACTTAATTGTATTAGATGCGACACAAGAACGGTAGTGATTCAAACGGCGTACCAAATACTATGTTATTGACAAGGTCGGGGCGCATTCGCCAGCGAAACCTCGATAAAATTCAAAATAAATAAGTTTATTTTTAGACTAAAGTTGAGTTAAGTTTGGCACATGAGTGGAGCGGCGTATGAATCAATGTCGCTCCAACGTCGCATAATGCGACAAGCTCTGCCGAACTTGTGTCGAACTTTTGCCGCTCCAAATTCTGCCGTACTTAATTGATTCATACGTCGCTCTTCTGCCGTACCTAATTCATCAATTAAGTTCGGCACATGAGAAGTACGCCGTCTGAAACAGGCCTTACTCAGTGTTAAACAGTGATTCAGTTCCCTCGAAAAATTCTTACAAATCCTTCAAAACTTAGAATCTACCTATGCAAAATTCCTACTGTTGTGCAATCTCGTGAAAGAAGGCAAAAAAATTAACTTCATAGTTGTTCAATTTAATTGTAATTATGCTGGATAGCTCTATAACTTCTATCCCAACAATCTTCCTTCAGTAAGGTCCATCTTTCTCTCGTCCATAATTATTACTTAGGTATAATAGGCAGTTCTAGCTATAGACTAAATTTTGATCTAGGCAAGAAGAACAAAATTCATCACCACAGCTAGAAAGAGCATGTTAAAATTAGTAAAATTGCAAAGTTTGGTTGCGAAATGTTGTAAAATGAGGAAAATATAGTACTGTGAAGTTCGAAAATTTTGTATGTATTTGCATTGCGTGCGTGAAAAATACCCGTAACCATTTTTGAGCCGAAAGTGGTTATTTTTACCGCGCGTATTAAACACAGATCTATACAAAATTTGCGAACTATATTTTCCTCATTTTACAACATTTCGCAACCAAACTTTGCAATTGTACTAATTTTAACATGCTCTTTCTAGCTGTGGTGATCGATTTTGTTCAAAATTTAATCTATAGCTAGAATTGCCTATTGTTGTAAAACTAAAGTACTAAACTAAAGTGAAATGTGTGTTCACATCTATGTTATATAATGGTTAGCGTCATTCCCCGAATGTCCAGAAATGGGAATCTTCTGCTAATGGCCTGATTCCGCTATGCAAAGTACATTTGTTTGGTTATACTTGTCTTCATTCTTCATTGCTGTGACACAATTTTGACTGTGATGAACTTGTGTGTGTGTGACATTGTTCAATTCTTTATGAAGGTTGTACTCAGGTTGTTGTTTCCGCTCTGGTTTGTCGCACTTGATTTCTTTTAGTGCTTTTATCCCGACCTGGAAGAAATAGGGTTTAAAAATAATTGATAATATTAAAACAATGGATGATTTTAGCTATATACAGACTTACTTTTGATCTAGGCAAGAAGAACCAAATCCATCACCACAGCTAGAAAGAGCATGTTAAATTAGTAAAATTGCATGCAAAGTTTGTTTGCGATATGTTGTAAAATGAGGAAAATATAGCCCTACGAAATTTGAAAATTTTGTATTTGTATTACGCATGAAAATGCACCACTTTCGGCCAAAATGTGGTGCATTTTCCCGCGAGTAACACAAATTAATACAAAATTTGCAAATTTCGCAGGGCTAAACTGTATCTTCTTCATTTTACAACATTTCGCCACCACATTTTGCAATTTTAGTAATTTAAAGATGCTCTACCTAGCTGTGGTGAATGGTGATTGATTTCGTTCTTCTAGCCTAAATCAAAATTTAGTATATATCTGGAATCCATCCATTAAGAAGTCACATTGATATTACTAAAGGAAATCTTCCGTTGGCGTTGTGTTAAAAGTTTGTTTCTCATGTAAACGAGAAGTCTCTCGTGCAGACGTTTACCTCGTAGCGTGCGTGGTTTGGGTACCGTGTTGAGCTTCGCGTGAAATGAGGCGATTCTTCGTTCTTTGAACTTGATGTGAGACTTGATATTCGACGACGCTTCTCTGAACTGTTGCTGAACTTCTTCTGTTGTCACTTTGAGAAATATAGAACAACTGTTTCATTTGCTTTAGTTTGAGATCTACGAGTGCTTTACAACACCAGATCAGTTTAGGATAGCTTGCTTGCTTATTGTAGGAACCTCGAGGCCACATACACTGACCATCTCTGATGTATTTCGATAACAAAGACAAGGTACTAGTTTACTTACTTGAGCTGCTGCCGTGATCCTCTAAGGTTGCTTGGAGATGTGCTATATATTTAATCGCTTCTTCGATCACGTCAATCTAATGAAAAGAAAAATTAGAGAAATTTAGAATAGTGCCATCCAGTCATGATCTAGTGATCAGAATGTTCCATTGTCTTTTCATTGTTTTGAAAATCCCACTGTTCTCCATGCCATCCAGTCATGATCCAGTGATCAGAATGTTCCATTGTCTTTTCATTGTTTTGAAAATCTCACTGTTCGCCATGCCATCCAGTCATGATCCAGTGATCAGAATGTTTCATTGTCTTTTCATTGTTTTGAAAATCCCACTGTTCTCCATGCCATCCAGTCATGATCTAGTGGTCGAAATGTTCCATTGTCTTTTCATTGTTTTGAAAATCCCACTGTTCTCCATGCCATCCAGTCATGATCCAGTGATCAGAATGTTCCATTGTCTTTTCATTGTTTTGAAAATTCCACTGTTCTCCATGCCATCCAGTCATGATCCAGTGATCAAAATGTTCCATTGTCTTTTCATTGTTTTGAAAATCCCACTGTTCTCCATGCCATCCAGTCATGATTCAGTGATCAGAATGTTCCATTGTCTTTTCATTGTTTTGAAAATCCCACTGTTCTCCATGCCATCCAGTCATGATCCAGTGATCAGAATGTTCCATTGTCTTTTCATTGTTTTGAAAATCTCACTGTTCTCCATGCCATCCAGTCATGATCCAGTGATCAGAATGTTCCATTGTCTTTTCATTGTTTTGAAAATCTCACTGTTCTCTATGCCATCCAGTCATGATCCAGTGATCAGAATGTTTCATTCTCTTTTCATTGTTTTGAAAATCCCACTGTTCTCCATGTCATCCAGTAACGATCCAGTGATCAGAATGTTCCATTGTCTTTTCATTGTTTTCAAAATCCCACTGTTCTCCATGCCATCAAGTAACGATGCAGTGATAAGTATTTTCTGCTGTCTTTTCATTGTTTTCAAAATCGCACTATTCTCTATATACCATCCAGTCACGATCCAGTAATCAGAATGTTTCATTGTCGTCAAAATCCCACTGTTCTCTATGCTATCCTGTCATTCATTGTTTAGACATATTCTGGCAACAAATTTTTGAAAAGTTAGTTCATTTCCGAATGTTGTTACTTTTTGACAACTTTTTTTCCAATATCTGTTCATCAATTTCAATGGACTGAGAGTCCATTGATATGGTTTATTGCAAAGTCAAAGATTATTTTGGTTATTCTAATAATTTTTAAAAGTTTTATGGTACAATTCATACTTTTGTATATTAAATTATCGATAATATATCTTGTTTTGACTTTAATTTCGCCTTATTCGAGCATGTGAGAAGACGGTGTTCCATTTCTACCAAGTATCGCACCTTTTGTTCTCCGGGTGGGAAGGCCCTCGCTAATACATCATCTACACTTTCATTTTCATTGGAAATTCCATCAAAATTATTTTGTATGTATATCTGAAAACAATAGATGATTGCAGCTATCGGCTAATTTTTTATGTAGACAAGAAAGACGAAATCTATCATCATAGCTCAAAAGAGCATTGTAAAATTAGTAAAATTGTAAAGTTTGGTTGCGAAATGTTGTAAAATACGAAAAATATAGCCTTGTGAAATTAGCAAATTTTGAGTATTTTAGTATTACGTGCGGAAAAATGCACCACTTTCGGATCAAAAGTTATGCATTTTTCCACGCGTAATACTAAGATACTCAAAATTTGCTAGTTTCACAAGACTGTATTTTCAGTATTTTACAACATTTTGCAACCAAATTTGGCAATTTTACTAATTTAAGGATGTTCTTTTCGTCATTAAAATGACAAAATCTTAGCTTTGTTCATATTTAAGATATATTTTGAATATGAACATACAAATACACAACTTTTCCTTCTTGGTATTTAGAATTTTAAAGCCAAAGCATTCTAGAGCTTTCTAATTTTACCATGATAGACACATAGTCTAGAGATATAAACATATTAAACCTTGGAAAGATTTTTAAATATTTTTTTTCCAATACAAAAGCACCACAGTCCATATTGGACTCCATGCCGAGTTACTGCAACTGTTAATTTAATTTGGCTTCGCTACACTGATTCATTTCGTCTCCCGCTTTGATAACGTAAATGCTTTCATCTTGTGTCAAACAGTTTGAAGTCGGTTTCCTCGATTAAAGAAGATGTTTCCAAAGTGTTTTTATTTTGTGCTATTGGTTGTCGTTTCCTTACAATTGAAAGGTAAGTGTTTCATTGCATCATGCATTTACCATAAATCCTGACAAGAGTGGTAGAGATTAGTTCGTAACTAAACTATGTGCACTGCTAGTGCTGTTTACAAAAAAGCGAATGATTTCGAAGCTTTATTACTTTCATTTTCAAGTTATGATTTAACCTTGCGTTTATAAGATAACATGAACATTACTTTAAAAATAACTAAATTAATTAAAGGATTTGTAAATGCTAACTTGCACTGTTAAAGTCATGTGTTTACGTGTTTACAATATACGCTTTGACCAAAGTATGCGTAAGTATGAAATGACGCCAATTTAATTTGGTCGCAGAAACGTTTATGATGCGTAACCCAGCTTTCTCACTTTACAAAGATACAGCAGCTGCAGGGCTGGCGCTAAAGGGAGGAGGGGAATTAAAATTTACGAAGACATTAGGGAAAAATCGAAGGAACAACGGTGGTTAAACCGAAAAAGTAAGATGACATATATTGGCCGGAAAATGTTTTTATGTTGAGCCGCCGT